GATGGATGATGATAGAAGGATGGATGGATGGATGGATGGATGGATGGATGGATGGATGGATGGATGGATGGATGGATGGATGGGCAGGTGGATGGATGTATGGATGTATGAATGAATGATGAGTGGATGAATGGATGGATGATCAATGGATGGATGGTTAATAGATAGATGAATGGATGGATGGACAGGTTGAAGGCTGATAGATGTATGGATGAATAAGGAGTGGATAAATGGATGGATGGATGGATGGATGGATGGATGGATGGATGGATGGATGGATGGATTATTAATGAGTGGATGAATGGATGGTTGATGAATGGATAGATAATGATTGATGGATGATGGCTTGATATATCAATGAATGGATGATGGAAGGATGGATGGATGGATGGATGGATGGATGGATGGATGGATGGATGGATGGATGGATGGATGGATGGATGGATGGATGGATAGATGGATGGATGGACAGTTGGATAGATTATGGGTAGATGGATTGATGCGGATGGATGGATGGATAAATTATTGATGGATTATGACTTGATATATCAATGGATGGATGGATAGATGGATGGATGGATGGATAGATGGATGGATGGACAGTTGGATAGATTATGGGTAGATGGATTGATGTGGATGGATGGATGGATGGATGGATGGATAAATTAGTGATGGATTATGACTTGATATATCAATGGATGGATGGATGGATGGATGGATGGATGGATGGATGGATGGATGGATGGATGGATGGATGGATGGATGGATGGATGGATGGGTATGTTTTGATGTGTCTGAGGCCTGACATGTTACTATTGTTGTTTCTGTTAGGGTGTGGCCTGTTTGACTATAACCCATTTGTTACATCAGGATTAATGAGGAATACAAGAGTCATTTCATATGTATTACTTTTTGTTATCACATCTGGTTGGTTTAATTGTTTTGCTTTTTTTTTGTCTTTTGTATATTAACAGTAACACAATTAATAGGACCACAGCTTAATGGTTGTGGTCCTATTTACTCAGATTTAGAAGCAAAAGACCTTTTTGATTTAAACTGTGATGGTCAGTCATTTTTTTCCAAAATCCTTCCAAATGCCACACATTGCCCATTGGTTGGTCTCTAAAAGATTTTTAGATGTAAGGATTAAATATGTTGGTGAAAAAATGTATATCTATTTTAAGTAATGTTTGGACTAGCTTTTATATTTCAGCTTCTATTAAATAATATTGTTGGACTACATTTAAATCCTGCAATATTATTTGGACCTTTATTATGCACCTTCCTTTATTGATAAGCAAATCCAGTGAGGTTTCATAGTCAGAAATCAGAGACTTTGCTTGCTCAGGGTAAGCTGCGGTGCTTAAGCTTTTTGTGTGTTTGAAGTCTGGTCAAGTAATGTGATTTATGTGTCGCCCCGAAGGCAAACTTTGCTACATGACAATAAGCAGAAATTAGAAGTGACAACCCTGAATGCTCTGTTTCCAGATTGGCTGCAAAGTGACAGTGTTGCTCTTCATCTACTTTCTGGCAACCAACTACTACTGGATCCTGGTGGAAGGCCTCTACCTGCACAGCCTCATCTTCATGGCTTTTCGCTCTGATTCCAAATATCTCTGGGGATTCATATTCATTGGATGGGGTAAGGAGCTGAAGTAAATTTTTTCATACCATAAAAAAAATAAATACAGAGTTAAACCACAAGGATTGTAAAACAGCAATGCACTCTTGAAGGTTTAGATGTTTTATTCAAATATTCATAATATTTCTTTAGAATAATGTTTGATTTTAGTTCAACATTTTGGAGAAATTTTAGAATTTCTCTGCTAAGCTCTGCATGTTTTAGCACATTAAGAGTTGTGGATCTTGAAAAGGAGCAGATCAGACGTTTTACTTGTTAGCCTTTAAGTCATGCTCTTGAAACGGAGCAGCTTAAAACCGTGGAAGCTGTGTCTTAATGAGATAACATGACTCTCACTAAGATACAAGAAGAAACAACACAGTTCAGATTAAAAATCAAAGTGAAGGAAGGCCCTGATGGTACAGCTCTCTCAGGGGACTTGACCAGCTAATCTCATTTGTCTATGTTAGAGACTTCTGCTTTGACATTATCGAAGCTGTGGACTCTCTCTATAATTGAATGGAAAAAGATCTTTAAAGAAAAAGAATCAGAAAAGTTATAAAGGTTTGAAATAACATTTCTGTCATAAGTTGTCTTATCCAATGTCATGTAGTCCTTGTCTTAAAGGCCCATTAGCATTCAGCATTCATTAGGTTGGACGTTTTACATTTAATCGGTGTGTATTGCATAATTTGTTTGCAATCAGTTCAAATTGCTTTTGATGCAGACTGACTCGTTGCATCCTATTTGCAGAAATGATTAGTGTTGCATTGTTTAATCTACTCTACTTAGTTTTCATGTTGAGATTTTGAATTAAAATGTTTGCTTTCAGAAATGTTTCTGGCTAATTAAGTATTTGCCAGCTATATATATATTGAGTACCATCCTTCTATACTGAAGATATTGTTCAGCATTTATTTTCTTTTTTTTTTCTATTGTCATAACTTATGTATTTTTTTTTTTTCCAGCCATTTAGGTAGGTTTTTGTGGAATACTTTATACATTCATTGAGCCTGTTTACTATTTTTGGTAAATTTGTCTGTTACCTTTTTGTTCTACTGGTACTTCTGAAGTGGGTACTTTACTAATGTACCACCTAATACTGCTATCTGATAATACATATTCAGAAATTTTAAGAAAGAGTAACAAAACAACAACTTAAAAAAAAAAACATTCATCTTAAGCTGTTCATTAATATTTGGTACTATAACAGTCTTTAAGACTTGTTAACAAGGCTTTATAACTGCGTCACAAGCACAAGTAGGCAAGGGACGATATGCATAATCAAGGCTAAAAAGCAGATTTGAAATAGCAGAACAAATGTAAAGCTATGACAACTAGATCTAACATTCCATTACAGAACACAAACTTGCCAGAAGGAATAAAGAATAAAACATCAATCTGAGACACAAACAACATTGACAGCTATAATGAAAGGTTGTAATAGACAAGAAGATGAACTGAAGAAATTAGTAAAAGTTTGTATGCTAACAGGGATGATCACTCGATTAGTGGCATGTGTACCGATTAATAAGTAGGCAAAGGTTGTAAGTGTCAGGATTTGGTGTTGGTTTGGAGGACCCAAATGCAGAGGCTGGTAGGCAGAGGGGTTTACAGGAACTGAGGCAGGAATCAAAAATCTAACAGAAATAACAGACAAAGCAGAACCAGGGAGACATCAGGGGAAAACCAAACTCTAGGAGCCAGGGAGAGACGAGGTACGCAGACAGACATTAGACGAGGATCTAGCAAACAGGAACTGAAGAGGGAGGCTTTTAAAGGGGACAGAGACAAAGAGAGGGCTAACGAGGGGATTGAAAACAGGTGAGGGCAGAGCAGAAAACAGAGCTAGGGAAAAAGGACACAAGAGGGCATCAGAGGACAACAAATGGAAAACCAAGACTGTGACAGTAAGAACAGGGCACCGAGGCATTGATAGCATGAGAAATGTATGAAAAGAGGTTATGACTTTTAGTTAACTATATATGGACCAAACCTAGAAATGTTTTTTGTTTTTGTTTTATCAAAATAGGTCTCTCACTGAGATTTTGGATCTCAATGAGAATGCATTATATTTAAATATATGTTATATTTACATTAATATATTATTTTTTTTCTGTCACATTAAACCCAACGTCCAAGATTGTAAATCAGACAATTTAAACTTGAGATGTGAACAAAACTGTCTCAAAAGTGCAAACTTGTTTGTAAAAAGTGAAAAAGTGAAGCCTCACTCGAGCAAGCAGACGTGACACAGCGGGGACACAGCAGACATGCATGAGCTGCATTATCTTCACTGCACAAACCATATTTGCAGCGTTATTTGTAACAACTACAGGGTGTTTGCTGGTCAGCCCCCATTTGTTAATGTCTTCAGTCAAACTATTGGCTATATTTGCAGCTCTGTGGCTTGAAGTAATTTTGAGTGCATCTTTCCTGCTCATTTGAATATGACTGTCACGCGCGTCACTATAAAATGAATCAGTCTCATTCCCTAGAGATCGATTTTGCAAAAATGTTAAGGAATTGATTCAAAATCAATTAAATAGATTTTTTTACCCAGCCCTATTTACATAAAACCAGGGGTGTCTGCTGCTCTCTGAAACAGGGGAGGCTCAATGGTTTTAATTTTATCGAAACGTCATTTATTGCATCAACAAATGTTGAAACACATAAAACACATCACTACAACAGGTGAAAATAGCTGTTGTAGAAACGACATGGATTCAACACAAGATGACTGTTATGACTGAATTGTCACTTTTCACTCTCGACTAACGAGAAAAAAACTCTTCGCTGTCTGGCCACTGTCAGCCACAAATCCTTAGGTATGTTCTTCCAATCAGCATCTAGTAGCCAGCTTCATGACCTACCCCTGCTCCACAGACCCCCTAAGAGGTTTAGCCTCACTGGAAGTGACTTTTTTGGTGTGTTATCCAATCAGGGCTTTACTTTTTCACCGCTTTCCTCAATAGACCAAGGCTCGGACCTAAACAGGGATTTGTCATAGAGCCTGACAGGCAGCTTCCTGCTGTTGCAGAGAGGATGGGATCGTGTTTGAGAGCGTAATATACAGCTAATTAATGCACAACCTACTCATGAAATTAGGTGCATATTAGGGCATATTTAATTCAGCTTAATGACTACATTTATGTAGTTTGACAATGGATATTTCTTAGTTTTACATTGTTTATTAGTCATATTAGTGGATTTTGTTTCTGGTTGTCAGTTCCACCCTGCATATTTTTTCTCTGGCTTCTTGCAGTCCCTGCTGGACAGTACTTCAGTTTTGTTAACCACAGCTCATTAATTTCATCAACTAACTGCCTGAATGCCATCATGATTCATGATCTTTGCACCAATTCAAATGACAGTTTTTCGTAAATACATTGCTTTATGAAGTTATTTTTGTGTTTTTATTAAATTCAGTAAAAAACAAAAGCGATCTGAAAGGGGAAAATAATTTCAGATAATGTAAAGTAAAACAAAAAAGCAGGATAGAGCAAGTTTTCCCACTGATAGCAAAAACTGATGTTTTTTGGGACTAAAGAAAATGTTTTGGGAGAAAATACCTTGTCTTGACATTTAGAAAATGATTTCCAAGGGGGAAAAAAGCTCTCTCAAAAATATAATTTCACTCTCAAATATTGTTTTGCAATCAGAGTGAAAATATTTTCTTTCAACAATAGATTTGTCTCTCAGAAGTCTTTGCTCTTAATTTAGGATTTTTGTATCCATGTGAATAACGTTTCAAGGGTGGGCCTGTGTTCACTATTGGCCAGTGTCAAAAAAATTGACAGCTGAGTCCTCATATTAGGTATATTGAATGTGGACAAAAGCTCACAGCTGTGCTGATGGGCGGGGTTAACAGTCTGTTGTGAAGCTAGACAGTAGAGTTGGGCAATACCAGGAATTTTTTATCAATCCGATACCAATTAAATACAGGGTCAGTATCAACGAGTATTGTTTAATATCAATACCAGTGTTGGTATTGATAGTATTTATCCTAGGATCAATCCACCCACCTCTACTAGACAGAACTGTCTGCTGCGGAACCAGATGGCTGGCACTGCATTTTTGTTACACAAATCATTGGTGGAAAATACACATTAAAACACTTTTCAATAGGCTCTCATCTACATTCAAGGCGAGGTGCTGTTGGACAGGGAAAGCGCAAGGAAAGCGAATTTCCTTATGAAAATTGACGACTGAAGTGCCACCTTTATATCACAAAGGTGTTGGGTGCACAAATAAAAGACAGCTTTTTTAATTGAATTTAATAAAATCACAAAAATAATTCCATATTACTCCACCATGCTAGTAGTGTTATAAAAATTCTCCCCCTCCTCCAAAAATACCTGCAAATTGCTTTTTATTCCCATATACATGGGCCACGTTTAGACTGGATTCCATTTCTTTGAAGAAATGCTGAGCTTTTCTGCTCAGTGAAAGCCTATGGTAAAAAAAAAAAAAATTCCAGCACATAGCCTCCGCAGTTTTGCTGTCATGATGAAAGGAGCTGTAGTGGAAACATATTTTCGCTGGAAGAATGTTTTTTACTAAGAAAGTGGGTGTAAAAGATTTCACTACCAGCAGAAAAATGTAAAGCAGGAAATATATTCTCAATAAAGACCATGTTTCTCTTGTTTTATAGAGAGAAAATGTGAATTTTACTATAACTTTCAAATTCATGTGCATTTGAACTTCAAAGGGTTCTGTGTCAAAGAAAATTTAAGTTGGAAGCATTTACAAGTATCCATTGAATAGTCAGTAATGCTCTCAGTCTACATGTATACTTAAACTGAGTGACAAAAGAACACATGATCAATAAGATCATGATGGTGTTCCTTCATGTGCTGCTGTTCTGAAACCAGCATTAAGCTCTGCTGACCTCTCTTTTTAACCTCTTTTGCTGGAACTATAAGTAGAATATTTAGTTAAATTGAAATGTCAGCACAAATCACAATATAACCTGTAAAACAGAATGGTGGGTGGATGGAGGGCTTACAGTAGTCTATTATAATTTCTGATAAAAGCAGGATTAGCTGTAGTGAGACTAACATATTCAGAATGGTTTGTTATGAAGATGGTGGAGGAACAGTCTGAATCTCATCTCATCTGCCTTTTGGCTTTTAACTTGTGCAACTCAATGTCCAGAGACTAAAGAATTAGTTTCAACTAGAATGTTAGTGACAGTACTAATGTTAGATATTTTAGTCTGATTTAACTATTGATTTTTAACTGATATAAAAGTTTTCAACTAAAATTTTATCATGGTATCTGTAAGCTGTCTGATCATAGTCTAAAAAGAAGGCATCACACTTATGTAGCTTTTAGCATTGTGACTTCTGTATATTCTTATGTCATATTTAATTAACCAGCATTTACTTTGGGTTTGAACCTTTATAAAGGTAGTAGAACTTTCAGGTTGTTTCCTTTCATTCACCCAGTTTCATAGCAATGCTTTTGACTGTCTAAGGGAAAAGCTGAATAGTTCAATTTCAAAGGACAAAAGTATAGATGCAACAGTTACCAACATATATTTATCTGTTCAGATTCAGACTTAAAATCAGTCCTGCTGTTTCCTTTTCTTTCCAACATCTATAATCAGTAGCAGAGAGGAGTGGTGTTGGACAATAGGCAGGCCGAGAGCTTGATTTCAGCTCCCCTCACCAACTAATGTTGAATTGTGCCAGAGAAACACATAAAGCTCTCCTGCCTATTGATCGGTGCATCCACGTGTTCTTGTATGTATTAGTGTTTCTCAATCACTAGTAAGTGTGCTGAGAGCTGTAACACGAGGCCTACCAGTTTCTCTCAGTTCAAAATCTTTTTTTAGAGCAATAGGTCTCAAAAAAGAAATTTACTATGAACTAATCAATCAATAGAACTTTTGAAAGAAGATAGAAAAATACTAACTAAAGTGCATCAATGTGCTTTCAAAATAATTATCTATC